TGAAGGCTACTTTTTATCTTGAAATGCATTACTATCTTGACTAATCCCCCGCTTTGGTTTTGCTTTTCTTCCTTTAATACATATATTTCTGCCGTGTATTTGACTGAATTTGTTATACTTCCTAGCACAAGTTAAACACTTGGGTTAGCAGGAAAAAATAGGCTTCATCCCTAATAGGGTCTTACAGTTTGGAAACAAAAATGCTTGGAAATTGGCAATGTAAACACATGTAAATAGGGAATATTATAACAAAGCAAGTTAACAAAGTTTTTTAACATGTCTACTATTTCCAACCCTTCCACTTACAGGAATATCTTTATAAAGCGGTTTCCAAGACTATCCATATCTTCTCCATGAGGTTATTTCTCCCCTTTTCCCTATCCCAAATGTTTAAATTGTTTTACAATTGCAATTGGGCTACTTCTTTTTGCAATCCTGCCCTTGTAAAACTCTGCAGGCATCTTATTCTAACCTGACCATCCAGCTGCTCTACCGTGTCATGGTGCTCTAGATTTCCGTTCCCCTTCTAAAGAGTTCTGTTCAAAATTGTGCCAACAGATGCCATATGAGGGTCAAACAACAGGATGTTGTAAATGTCTAACTGCTGTGGGCTTTTCAAATGTATATGCTAATAGGTATGCTATCAGCACACAGCTGTAAATGCAAATAACAAGTCTGAAGCAGGGTATTTTTATTGCTCTTTAACCACCTTCTGTATTGCAAGTGGGCAACTCCTCACTGGTTCCAACATAAAAAGCAAATCGCTTACTTCATCTTGAGGCTGTGTAAACCAATCAGAGCAATAATGGCACAGAACAGAGGAGATGCTATGGCTGATTGAATCGAGGTTTTCAACTAAAGAGTCTTGCTAGGATTCTTGTGACTGCTAATAAGAGCAGTCAGAGCAGACAGAGAGTGTGGTCACACTTCATAACAAATTATTGAAAGCTAATACAATCAATATATGTTCCAAAGAAAAAAATAAAGATGTACTATAGCAATTTAGATACTGAAATTTATTTTTACATGTTACCTACTTTAGAAGGTATTAAAACAATGAGGGAAATGACAAACCTTTGTTAGTATCAAACAAAAAGAAAGCCCTTTTAATTTAAACAGGACTTTGCCTCAAATAAGTCAATATATGTTTGCCAGCAAAGTATTACATTCATGACATTTAAGCTGAAGATCAGCTGTTTAAAAAATAACTAGGTTATCTATGTAAACTACCCATCATCAAGTTTACTACTAAAAATTCAGCAACTGACTCTGGTTATTCTCACAACTGCCTGCATTCTGTCAAAAACAACAAGTGCATATTAAAAAGATTATTTCTCTTGTAATCAATTATAAAGAGAAAGGCCTTATTTTGACCACCCCTCTGATCTTGCTTTCCAACATAAATCACTACATTTTTGCAGTTGCTTACAAATCTACTTTAATCTGATTTTTAAGAACACTTTCTTATCCATGTCCCAAGAGGTTTAGTGGAGCTTACTTCCATAGAAGCTTAAAGCGTACCCTGCCATAGTGCAGGAATGATGCTAGGAAGAAGAAGGCTTCCATGGAAGTTTATATGAACACAAAGCAAGCAGAAAAATAAAGAAAGGAATGCTTTTAGTCATAGGTTTTCCTAATAAAAATATGTTTTATATAATGAGCTTTAAGCAGATGAACAAGCTACTATTGAATAATATGCCAATTATACATTTTAATTTATAATGCACTTACTGGAAGATTTTTCTTTTATATGGCTCTTTTCATAAAAACAGCTTTTTATGAGGCAGAAGGGGGGGGAAATCAGACTTCTGCTATCATATATTTATAATATATATGGCTGTTACAGATCTCAACACACACTTTTTGATACAAAGCTATTAACAGTGATGCTTTCAGTGGAAAGACAGTAAAATGCTGATACTAGACATTTTTAACAAAATAAACCAGACATAAATTCAAGAGAGATGTTAACAAAACTTCCCAATGTTTGTTTTGTTTGTTCTGGCTAAACAAACTCTATTAGCAATTCTTATATTCATATTTTCCTGTTTAAACTATCAGAATCTCCAAGATAATTGGAAAAATATTGAGATGGCTTTAAGTAAATGTCAGCTCCAATTCTACCAATGCAGATTTAGTCCATAAGAATTTTACTGTGTCCTGATTTAACTTCCTGGGACAAGAAGTTAATGATTACTTAGCATGTCAAATCAGATTCTAAAGATGCAATAGGATGTATTCTTCTTGGGTCAAATAAGGGTATAGGCCAAATTATTTATTAAGTATAAATCCGAAATAATTAGGATCAGCTAATTTTCAGAATTTCAACACCTAGCATTTAACCCAAAGACTCTAACCTAGTAACATTTGAATCAACATAACTTACACTACTTTGCTTTTTATCTGTAAAGTATGACTTAATATTTTAGTATCTGTATTTAGAAAACGTAGTACAATCAGCACAAACAACAAGCAATATCTTGTATCCAAAATATAGAATAGAATAGAATTCTTTATTGGCCAAATGTGATTGGACACACAAGGAATTTGTCTTGGTGCATACGCTCTCAGTGTACATAAAAGAAAAGATACATTTGTCAAGAATAATAAGGTACAACACTTAATGATAGTCATAGGGAACAAATAAGCAATCAAATCATATTAGAAAACAGTCACTATAAATCGTAAGGATACCAGCAACAAGATTACAGTCATACAGTCATAAGTGGGAGGAGATGGGTGATAGGAATATGAAGGGAAAGGGAAGAAAAAACAAAATTAAAAAAATATGTGAATAAAAAGACTCCTAAAAACTCTTACAGTGCTTAAAATAGTCGATTTGGTTTAGATAATGTCTAACATTAGTCCACTATTAGCAGAGTACACTGATTATACTCTATATAAACAAATAATAAAAACATAATTGTTCTTGATATAATTCATGAGTATCCAACAGTCTTTTCATTTGAGTGATAAAACAGGAATATATTGTGTTTCTCTTGTTAAAAAAAAAAGTCAGTACTCCATTCCTGGATAATAACGTGAATGGGGGAGGGGAGAGACAATATATTGTCATGTGGACAGCCATCCCAACATGGCTTCTGTAACCATTAGGCAGCATTCTTTTAGGACTAAAGTTTTAGCCAATATATCCAGAGAGCATCAACTTAATTAAGTAAAAGCAGCTACTGTATAAAAAAGCAAAAGAAAAACCAGGGTATGAGTTGCTCTTTCCAACCTATCAGATGTTGGAAAAGAAATGTGTAAAGGGGTCAGGATTCAATTTATCTGTCAGCAGGATCAAATTAGATGTAGTAAGGGAGGCAAAAGAGAAAAGAAAAATCAAGTTTTAAAATGGACAGAATCTGGCCAGAAAAAGCTCTTCCCCAAATTCTTTCCCAGCTTGCTATTTACTCAAAACCAAGTCCCGCTGTGTAAATGGGCACAAATTGCCAATCAGAAGATCCTGCAGTATCCACATGGAGGGCAACAATAATACCACCCTTAAATTTAAGATTAATCTTGTAAGTGTTGCTACTTCTGTGGTATATGCTTTGGCATATAGCAGAAAATAATTTATCTTAAAAAAACATCAGGGAGAGATGCGCACACACAGAACTTTCCTTTAGCTACAATCCATTATCTAAAAGAATATTAGCATTTTAATAAGGTAGTCCTCAAATTACAATTCATTTAGTGACCATTCAAAAGTTACAGTGACACTGAAAAAAAGTATGACCATTTTTCGCAGTTATCACCTTAGTAGGATCCCCATGATCATGTGATCAAAATATAGATGCTTGGGCAACTGATTCATACTTATGACTATTGCTCTGTCCCAGGATCATGTGAACCACTTTTGTGACCTCCTGACAAGCAAAGTAAATGGAGAAGCCCGATTCACTTAACAACCGAGTTATTAACTTATCAACTGCAGTGATTCACTTAACAACTGTGGCAAGAAAGATCGTAAAATGGGACAAAACTCACTTAACAACAGAAATTTTGGGCTCAATTGTGATCGTAAGTCAAGGACTACCTGTAACTGCATTATCTGTAACTTATAACTTCATTGCCAAGTAGCACAAAAATATTTTATTTGATCAGAGCAAAGTACGTTCCCAGTGAAAGAAACTAGAGGTATTCCCAAATCAGCATGTGCAGGATTCCACACTAATTTTTTTAAAAATGTAATTATCATTTATTGAAGAGGGAGGGGTATTACGATGTTTTGCTTGTTACAGTGAGCTACCAAGGAATCTGTTTTTCTTGCATCAGGATATACATGGGATTAATAAAAGCACTCCATAAAATCAGTGTTAACTGTCACTGTGTCAAAGTATCAACTACCACAAGAAAGGCTTAATTGCAGAGGATTTAAAAAAAACTGTATTCCCACAGCACACTATGGAGAAGACTAGGTTTAACGTGCTATGTAAACCATCCTCTCATGCGTCCCAAAGGTCCTTTTTTTCAAGAGGAAACTAGGCTTTCTGGTTTTGCTTTGAACACCTTTCGCTTCTCATCCAAGAAACTTCTTCAGCTCATCCAAGAAGAAGTCAAAGAAACTTCTTAGATAAGAAGCGAAACATCTTCCCCCCCAAAAAACAAAAACCCAGAAAGTCCAGTTCGTCTCTTGAAAAAAAAAAGCACCTTTGGGACAACCATGACCTGGATGATTGAGAATCTCCATATGTGGTTTGGAGTCCACGGTGCAGTTTGGCGCAGTATGCGAATCTAACGCGAGTGGCTTGAAGTAAGCCACAATAAACCATGGTTTACTGAATTATAGCAACGGATCGGCATCTGCAATTGGTGGTATGGGTTGTACAAACCACACACGCGCCCTTTCTTGAAGAGCAGACTTCTCCCAAGCAGGCAGAGAGAGGTACCACCAGCAGGACCTGCTCGGTCAATAGCGGGAAGGAAGGGTTGGTGGTTGTTGTTGTTTTGCACCACAAAATGCCTCGCAGCCAATTGCTTGCAGGCCTCCCACTTACTTTTTTACCGCTTCTCTAGATCCCGAAATGGGGACTCCGCCTCCGTCGCCTCCGCTGTCATAAAGCACCCCGCTAATATCTAATAGCACTCCTTCTGCGCCCGCTAAGACTGCACCCCCATCAGCCATACCGGATAAGCCCCGCCCACGGCTCAGCTAGAGCCTGCTTGCCGAGACAAACCTGCCCCGCCCCAAAGTCGAGGCCCCGCCCGTTCTTCCTGGTTGCGAAGGCTCCTGGGAAATGTAGTTGTCGCTTAAGCCGGGCGGCTCCTCAGATTGCAATGCCGGCGGAATTTACTGTAGTGTGTTGTAATGGCAGTCCTACGCCGGGCGAAGTAAAATGAGGGGTCGATCGGTCGATCGGCACCCCGGGTTCTGTGGAGGAGAGTCGGCAATGCGACTTTTGGGGAGATATCCATCTTCTTCGCTTCTCCGGACAGCTCAGGTCTCCTTTTTCTGAGCCCTGGAGGTGCTCCTCTCCCCGACTTGGGCACCGCTGCTGCAACAGCCTTATCCCGTCGGGCGTTCGCCTTTGAGCGGCTGATAACAAGCGAGCCGAAGCCCTCCGACTTCCTTAGGCGGCACGGTGGCGGCACGGCTGCCTTCTTTGGGCTCCTCCGGCGCCCCTTCGGCCGAAGAGAAGCAGAAATAAACCAGTAAATGGATTGTCCCAAAGGCGCTTTTTCAGGCGGCAACTGGACTTTCTTGTTTTTTCTTTTGAAGACGTTTCGCTTCTCATCCAAGAAGCTTCTTCAGCTCTGACAGGATAATGGAGAATGGAAGGATTTATATTCCTTGCAGACAGCTGGTCACTTGCATCCTTTTAGAGGATGGTGTGGAAATAGGAATGGATTTCCAGAGAAAAATTGGGGACTACAGGAATCAGGAGCACTGTGCTCCTGAGGACACAGATAAAGGTCCAAGTGCTTCAAAAGTGCCCTCTAAAAGTATGCAAATGATCATTTTATTTTTTATTTTTTATTTATTTTATTATTTGTATTTCTATGCCGCCCACTCTCCGAGGACTCTGGGCGGCTTACACCAAAGACAGTATACTAAATAGCATATTGCCCCCAACAATCTGGTCCTCATCTGTCTGCAAGGAATATAAATCCTTCCATTCCACACTATCCTGTCAGAGCTGAAGAAGCTTCTTGGATGAGAAGTGAAACTCTTCAGAAGAAAAAACAAAGTCCAGTTGCCTCCTGAAAAAGCACCTTTGAGACAACCATGACCTGGATGACTGAGAATCTCTATAGACTTTCAGCAAATGGACTGGAAGTGAAGCCGAGGCACTACTCCTTACTAGCCATAATGGCCAGGACGTGGTACTGTTGGGGGCAAAGAACAAGAAAGAACCTCACTCCAAGTCAACCAATAGAAAATAATAGCTTTAGGGTCAAACTGTGCTAAACCACAGTTTACCATAATCATGGTTTTTTGAGTAAGCCATGATGACTGGACTCAAATATGTTAGGCTTAAACCACTTTTAATATAGTGTTTACAAAAGTGCTTTTTCAAAAAGCAACTGGACTTTTTTTTTTTTTTGCTTGCTTGCTTGCTTGAAGATGTTTTTCTTCTCATCCAAGAAGCTTCAGAACTGAAGAAACTTCTTGGATGAGAAGCAAAATGTCGTTAAAGAGGAAAAAAAAAACCCCAGTTACCTTTTAAAAAAGCACCTTTATGACAAACATTACCTGGATGACTGAGAATCTCCATAGACATGCTTTACAGTGACAGTATGGCTTGTGTAATGTACAAACCCAGTTTGTGCCTAGTGTAAGACTTATCCATAGCTGGTCCAACTAACTGTTCTGTCTTACCTGCTGGGCTAGCAAAGGTGAGAAAATACACTTTCTCAACCTGTCCTGTCTTAAGTGTCGGTAACTTTATATCTGTTTCTTACAACATCTGCAATAAACCCCAAATCACATATGGGCAATGACATCATGATACAATGTCACTCTTAGATGGGTGACATTTTGGCAATTTTGTATGGTCTTTGATTTTGCAATATTGCAAGCCCACATAGGTACAAGTACCATGCTGATTAGGTTATGTATCATGCTAAGCAATCATTAACAATGATTTATTTAATCATAAAAATCTTAAGCCATTAATCATAGTTTAGACAGCTACATTGGCTAAATCAAACAATGTTTGCAGTATCCTAAACTTTGGCTAGGTTCACATCTCAAACTTAAATAAAAGAAGGAATACAGACAAAATGAATCAAACCTGTGTGTAACCCTTGAAGTAAGTTCTGTCATAACTATGCATAGGATGGTGGTCTTAATTAGGCTACAGGTAGATTTTCTCAATTGATACTGACCTCTATACAAATAATACCTAATTAATTTGTCACTGAAAGAACAAAGTAGAGTGAGCCATATTTTGAATAGCTGCAAGAGAGTTTAATCATATATTCAAACTTACATGATAATGGTAATTTTTTCACTGTGGTAAAGTGCAGAGCTTTATTTATTACTACTGCAATCGCTTTCATGCTGCAATTCAAAAATATGTAAGAGGCAGTGTTGGAATTATAGTCTGCTTTAAGAAAAGCCAAGGAGTCTTTGAATCATTGATTTGTTCAGTGCTCCAAGTCACTTCTTCTTTAAGATAGTATCTAAATGGTAAAATTCATTATATAGACTGTGAAATGGATCAGGTTATTTAAAACAACACCACTAATGGTACAATATCTCAGCTGTCCACTCTGATATGGGATATTGTCTTGGATAGTGTTATCAGTTCAGGACACCCGCTATGAATATTGATCCAGTGCTTGTAAGAGCCATCACTTGCCGTCGGGACAGGTCAGGGTTGACACTTACCTAGCTTCAAAGCAATTTAAAGACTACTCCAACAGAATCTTAATGTCTGCCTGAGCTGAAAAACAAAACAGCCCAGGCTTTGCCAATGTGTGCCTGCATGCTGGTGACTTGACTATATTTTATGAAGCCCCTTGCCCAAAATCGGCACTACAAAAATTCTATGGATTATACTGTATTAAAAACTAATCAATAACTTTCACATATTCACTGGAACATATTCTGGGATGAACATATGGCCATACTTTTCTTTAGCATGATAATATATATGAGAATAGGTAGTATTGTGAAAGAAAGGAGAATCAGGACAAATGGATACGTATCTTGTTATTTTTAAATGAATGTGATGTTGTAGGAGCATTCTAAAATACAAAGAGATGTACCGGAAGTTAATTTGCAGAGCAAACAGTTATATTTGGTGCCTAGCATTTTATGGATTCACAGAATTGTATAGATAGGTTTTGTATAGATTTTTGTACCTGTGTTATCTAAATTTTGTGATTATTATTCTTATTTAGACCGATTTTCTGAAATGTTCACCTTGTGTGACAAAGTTAGATTTTTTTCACTTTTTTCCAGAAAGTATCCATAAATATATATTTCCTCTATAATTCTAGATAATTTTAATTCAAATGTCTCATCAATTAATTGATTAAATGGGTTGTGTTCTTAGGTAAATATGTACAGCTTTTATCTCTAGATCTTGTCATAATAAAAGCATAGCTATTTATAGTATAGCAATACTATAATTCATTTCAATGGGATCTACTGCCATGTAAGGTACTTCTTAAGATGAGTAATAGTGGTAGAATCTACCTCAGGGAAAAGATTAAGATGTATTGCCAGATAAATAATGGCTTGTGTGATTATTCCCATACAGACAATATTTATGTCATCTCCTGAAATCATACATCAGTAAATCATTATTTTACCTAGTGCCCAGTGAGGTACAGAGTGTATCTTTCTTAGGTTGATTTTTTTCTTGTCCTGCTCATCTTTCATTTCAGTTATTTGCCTTTATTTCTGTTTTACAATATACATCATGCATTTGTGCCTCTTGTAGGGAATGCCAAATAAGGACTATTGTTTATTACTTTACATCTCTTTCTAAAGGCTGTATTGAAAGGAGCCAAACAAAAAAGAAAGAAAGAAAAGAGGGGAAAATACATCAAGGATTTTTCTAAAAAATATAAAAATTGCATAAACATTTATAAATTGTTAAAAGAAAAAAGGAAATCATTAAATTGTTATTCTTACAAAGAACTTCAGATTGGAACAAATAAACATATCAGTTTTGGCACTTTTAGTATTAATAATAGAATTAAATCGGAAATTTGGCTCTTGCTAGTGAAAACATATAGCAGTATGTAAAGGGGTTCTGTAGGATAGTCCAAAAAGGCCAGATGGTGGTGACATGGGCACAATCAAACTCCGCCCCTTGTTAGATTACATCACTTCCTCTTACAGATGCCCATGAGTAAAAAAAGCATGATAAAATAAACAAAATGAAATGGTTGCATCAGTAATAATATTCATGAAACAGCAAATAAGTCAGTTAAAATACTCGGAATCTGGAAGCTCCAGTTGACTCAAAATGCAACGGCCCACATGGTTTTATACAGACCTCGGTATGCACATGTGTCACCTCTCCTGCTTCCTGATGCAATTCAAGGTCCTGGTTGTCACCTTTAAAGCCCTTCGTGGCTTGGGACCAGGTTAATTGAGGGACCATCTCTTGCCGGCCACATCCACCTGACCCACTAGAGTAGAGAGGCAAGGAGTGTTGCAGGTCCCTTCTCCTAGGGAGGTACATCTTGCGGGGGCCAGAAGAATGACCTTTTCTGTGGAGGCTCCCTCCCTCTGGAACATCATCCCTCCAGAAATTAGACTGGCCCTCACTCTGACATTCTTTTGGAACATCCTGAAGATGTGGTTTTGCCAGTGGGCCTGAGGAACCCAAAGTAGGATGGAACACATTAAATGGGTGTGTGTTGTCTCCAAGGGTGAGAGAGTATTATTTTATTATTTTTATTCCTTCTACATTGTGTTTTTATTTTTTTGTACATTGCCTAGAGTCACCATGAGTAGTCGGCTATTTAGATTTTCCAAGATAAATAAAGTAAAATACATTTCCTACCTCCTGAAATTAAGTACTTCATTTATTTTTAAAGCAAAATTATTTCCTCATACACTACCATACTAACATTGAGATAATAATTAGGCAACCTTCTTGGAACATTAATTTCAGTGGCCTTAGACATATATAAGCATACACAGTCTGAAATTTTAAAAAGGTCAGATGTACTAATCCAGTACATCTGGATCAGAGCTTA